TCTAAGCCAAAGGATAATGAAATAGATCAGGTAAGTAGAGTAGATCTATTGACCTTATTTATGGATGCTGAACAAAATGCTATAAAGTTAAAGAGCCATGATAATAATGATAAATTTTTAAGGGATACAATTTCAAATTTTTTCTTGGCTGGGGGAGAGACAACAAGTACTGAACTAAACCTGTTTTTTTACCTTCTCTCAAAAAACCCTCAAGTTACTCACAAGACTAGAATGGAACTAAACGCGATGATGATACAAGTGAACAATAACTATGATAGGTTTCTAAGCAATTTCAAAGAGCTTAGTAGCCAACTAACATATCTTCATGCTACAATATGTGAAACACTAAGACTCTACCCTGCGTTAGTATTCAATCACAAGTCATCAATTGAGCCCGACGTCCTTCCTAGTGGTCATCGAGTGAATCCAAGTACTGAAATCATCTTCAACATGCATTCCATGGGAAGGATGAAATCGATATGGGGAGATGATTGCAACGAGTTCAAACCCGAAAGATGGATAACAGAAGGAGGGGTGATTAAACATGAGCCATCGTACAAGTTTGCGGTGTTTGGCGCAGGGCCAAGGACTTGCATGGGAAAGCAGATGGTTTTCACGCAAATGAAGATTGTAGCTGCCTACATCATCCGGCACTATGATATAAAACCTGTCGACGAAGGACAACCTCTTGTCCTCGATCTCTCTATAACTCTTCGTATGAAGCATGGATTTAAGGTTAAGATCATTCGTCGTTCTCAAAATTAGTTCAAGCACAAGTGATGCAAAAATATATGTTCAATTTATAAGTGTTGTGGTTCATTTTTGTTACACCAGTGTTATATGTGATATAGCAAAAATTTCAAGATTCTATAGATTATACAAGTATGTATTATTTCGTGTAAAATTTTCTTCTCAATATATGAATATATATGATCAAATTGTTCAATTCATGAAAAAAATGCTACGGGTTATCATCAATGAAGCACGGAAACTCTTAATTTTAGCCACGTATCGTTTCCGAAACGTTTCCGAAACCTCTTACGTTTCGAAACCCGTTTCAAAACGGCTCATGGAGTTTCCTTGTTTTGTGAAGCGTCTCGCATAATTTAATAGTTCGAAAACCCGTGGGAAACTTAATTAAGGATATAAATAAGCGTTTCCCCTTTAAAAGAAAGCAATTAAACCCTTATATTCACAAATTACGAAGCAGCATAGTTATTTGAGTTGTTTCTATAATTGTCGTTTTCATGCTTTAGAGATCCATGTTGCTGCCATCACCGCCTAGCTAGAACAAAGTCGATCTAACTACCACCGAACGATTTCACTAATTTGATGTTTTTCTTGTATTTAATTTGGAAAAAAGGGAGTTCATGCAATTTACAGAACGAAGTATCTGTTTGTTTTTATTTTTTTTGCAAGTTTATTTGGTATTTTATTCTGATTAAATGTATTTATTTATGTATTTTTAATGTGTCCCCGTTTCCCATAATTTTAAAATTTCCGTTTCCTCGATTCCTCGTTTCCCCGTCTCCGTTTCCGTGCAACCTAGGTTATCATATTTGTTACGCGAAATTATACAGGTATGATGTAGATTCTCACATACTTAAATTACTTTTACTTGGGTGCAATATATGTTATAAGTATATTCCCTTATGCGTAATCTATTTTCGTAATAATCTCAACATTTTGACTTTTACACTATTTATTTGTTTACTTTAACTATATTTTTTTATCAATATATAAAAAACATAGCAAGGTTGCCATGTAAAATATTTTCATTATGTTAATTTTTTTTGTTATATTTCTGGTCTAAGTTATGTATTAGCACGTGTGCCGATCAAGTTATGCATTAGCACGTGTGCCGATCAAAGTGTTACGATTATTATGAAACGGAGGAAAGGTGTACATTTAATAAAGGATCATGGCTGAATATGGGCTAAAGATAGAAACATGAAGCCTGGTCCCAGCCCAAAATTTAACTTATAGTCTGATCATAACTTATTTTTGTCAAGAAAAGAACACACCCCTTAATTGAAGTAAACAATCAATTTACTTATTAATGCAGGTGTTACCAAGTAAATATGGGTTCACTTTAACAAACCCTATCCGTATTAAAGTCTTCTTCTAATAAGATCTCATGGGTAAATGCATGAAAAGGACACAAGCAAGTACAAGTTGTAGCACAGACTGTCATTTATACTGAATAACTAGTTGATCTGTGATGTTTTGTTCCAGTTTTTGTAATGAACAACACAACAAGATCTTGTATTTCGGTGTCAAAAAATAATAATAATAATAATAATAATAATAATAATAATAAAAATCCTGTGATTAGGAATTGAATTGGATCATGAAAATATTTTACAATATGAATCCAATCACGGCTATATAGTACTTCTGCCTCGATGTATATAGTATAATAAAATATAGTCATTTGAAATTTTATAAAAATCGTCTCAATGTAATTTTTCATAATAGTAACTTTTGAATTATTTTTTTTTCTACTCCGTATAATTTTTTTGTATTAATATTTAGAGATATTAATTATGAAATGCATCAACTAAGAAGTATGCAATTACTCAACCCAAAAAATGCAATCCTAAATTAAAACCAGTATGGCTGATTGCCCTAAATTAAAAAAAAAATACATTTTTCTTATTTTGAATATTGCACACCTTTCAAAAAAATATAGCACGCCTTTTTGCATGCACTTTGAGAAAAAAATAATTAATATAAAGGGATAAATTAATCATAATAATCTTGTACCTAAGCTTTCTCTAATTTTTGGTGTTAAAATTATTTTGATAAAGTAGTCCGTTTACCTACTCTAATCAATTTTTTTTATAAATCATGCAAAAAAAATGTTGTATTTAAAAAAAAACAGATAAACTACAGAGTTATTATTTTCAGTAGCTTAATATGTGTCTTGACCATGAACACACGTTGGACAAACCAAATAAATACTCCGCAGTCCGCACTACTTCTCTGCTTTATTTTCTTCTACTTATTTGAGTTATTTCGCAACAAAATGGGCTTCCAACTAACTAATTATTGCTCCCTTGTTGGGATGCTTCCAGCACTTCTCATAAATGATCAATATAGGATGAAATCTAAGTTAGATTTCACTGTGGAATTGGCGGGGTCCTCCTATCTAATTATCCACACAATAAATCGCTTGAAACCAGAAATTTGGTGAAGGAAACATAAACCTTTAATTTCGAAACAAAACAAGCAAAGAATCAAAGATAAAACCTTTAATCAAGAACTGGATAAATGCAAATAAAAGTATGACAAATAATGTATACTAAAACTATACAAGTTTGAAATATATGTTTTTCGGGTGAAAATAATGGGACCTCGCCGAAGGCCCAATGAAGTGGATGAAGAGTTGTCCGGTCCAAGGGATGTTGGGCCGAAGATTTCCCGCACAGCAAAACACACGTAAACTGGCCTCGGGGGTGGATCCGAGGAAGACCCCTCCGATGCCGAAGTCAAACAGTGTATTTAGAGGAAGCTATGCAAGAGATTTAATGCTTGAGGCTTTTTTGTATATCTCATAAATGAGTTAATTGAAGGCTTTTATACCTTTGCATATGAGGATAGGAGAGTAATTGGGCTCCTAAATAATCATGGGTTGACCATAGCAATTTGGACCAAATGACTCATGTCTGACTTGGCTTGATTGGAGGCTTGGGCCTTGACCTTGGAACATTGGATCATTTAATGACTAGGCCCAATTAGATAAATTGGACCCAAACAACTTGCCCCCCAGACCCGATTTGGAAGGATGACGGGTCGGGTTTGAATCCAATAAAAATGGAGGGAAGTAAATGATTTAATTAAATCAAAAGATTTAAATTTTTAAACAGTCATTAATTAAATAACTGTAATTTGGATAATTAATAGGAAGTGGAGTGGATAATGGGCGGTTAATCAAGTGAGAAAGTGTTTAACGGTTAATTAAGGAGGCAATTAAGAGAGATTTAAACTTTTCGACCTTTGGAATTCTCCTTTCTGGAATTATAAGGTCTGATTCACACTTTCGCCTCATTTCTTCACCAATTTGCACTCGAATTCTCGCAGAAACTTCCATTTTCGCTTCGAATCTTTAGCGCAATATCTCCGAATCCAAGTTTGACACTCAAATCCGCCACTCCCACTGACTTGACCGGCGCATTTCGGCCTATTTGAAGGTAAATTTCTCCGAGTTTCCTTTGATTTTCTTGCCTTTTTGAGAAAATTCTTCTTTTTCCTACTTTTCTTCTTCGAATTTGGTTATGGCTCGAGGAAGAGGGCGTCAACCAGGTCGACGGGGCCAAGCTGGGGATCCCCGTGACCGCGCCGACATTTGGAACGGGGAACGCGTCGGGGAAGACCCGGAGAGGGGAATTCCGGCCGTTCCTTTGAATGTCGCGCCGCCTCAGCAGGACGCCGGGGCCGGCGAGGCGGGGCAGCCTGAGCAGAGAGAGCGGGCTGGGCAGGCCGAAGATTTGCCCCCTGTGCTCTGGGACCTGCTCCCCGGGCATGCTGGATGGCAAGACGCCGAGGCTCAGGACGCCATGGTGAGAAATACTCCTTACTCCTGGTGGGTTCGGCATGCCAAAACTTACCGGTTTGCCGAGCAAATAGAGCTGCACTACGGCATTCTCGAGGAGGATGGGTATTGATGCCGGATGCCCTCGCCAACTAACAGGATTCACCGTCCTCCTCCTGGATATATAGGGGTGTACACTCGGCAATTACAGTATGGGCTTCGGTTCCCTCTGGATCCCTTCGTCAGGGATATTTTAATAAAGTACAAGATTTCCCTGTGCCAATTAACACCTGTCAGCATTCGGCGGGTGATGACTTATCTCTGGGTGTGCCGGTTTTTTTCCGTTGAGCCGAATTTGCATTGCTTCCGAAGGATGCATCAGCTAGTGCAGAACATCCAGACCGTGTACGGCCAACACGGGTCCTTAGGCTGGTGGCGAATAGAGAGCCGCCCCCAATATGTGACTATGTGGACGAACGATTCTTCGGATAAGGATTGGAGAGGTCAATGGGTCTGGGTGAGAGTTCCCGCTGATCCGGAGCACCCTTATTTTTTCGGAGCTCCCCGATACCTTTCCAGGCCTGATCCGAACATGCAGGATCTGGGCCCTAAGGACCCTGATGCCGCTCGTCACCCCAGCTACGAGCAAATGAGCTTCTTCGGGATCCAGGATAACCCATGGGGAGTTGGCCGAATGAGATTCATCCCGACCAGATGGCTTCCAGACAACCATTACGTCTTCCAAGAGAAGATGTTGGCGGTTGTCGGCCTCAGCCGAAAGTACAGGGATGGTAAGTATCTTCGGCTGGGGCCGAGGACTTTGCCTTGTTTAATTTTCTGCCTTATCTTAATGCTTATTCCCTCAGTCTAACCTTCGTCTTGTCTCTTCAGAGCTGAGCGAAGCTACCTCAAGTATTGACTACAATCGGCTCGGGGTGAACGCTGAACGAGTCATTTTAGATCGGGCTCCGGCGATCACTGCTCCGAAGAACCGTCCGTTGCATCTGAACGAAACGGGCCTTCAGATCGAGGCTGCCGCCGATTACACCAAGCAGAAGCCTTGGTGGGAGAAGCGAGATCCCCTCAGGCCTTTATTACTCGAGGAAGCACAGGCTGCTCAGACAGCTGAGGACGTGTCCCGAGCAATCGAATCCTTGGAAGGAGGTGCAGGGACGTCTGGTGCTGCCGAGAGGGATACCTCTGCATCTAGAGCTCAGCCGAGGGTTCCAGTAAGTTCCTTGGCTACTTTATTATATATATATATATATATATATATATATATATATATATATATATATATATATATATATATATATATATATTTTACTCACACTTTGTTGCCCCCCTTTCTGCAGTTTGAGGAAGGGAGCGGAAGGAGAGAAGTGAAAGCGCCTGCTCGTTCTGAGGATCCATCTTCGTCAAAATCTGAAGAAATGGACGAGCAGCCCTTGGCAAAGAGGAGGAGGAGGTTAGCCGTACTGGGGCCTCATCAGTTTCAGACGGGGATGAGGCCTACCGGAGGAATCCAAATAAGAAAGCCTGATGAAGGTAGACGCTCGCCGAGGGCTCCCCCTCCGCCGGAAGCTCCGCGTCCTCAAACCCCCCCTCCACCTCCCGAAACTCAAGAGATGGAGGTGGACCAAAGAACTCCTGATCCGAAGGGGGGGTTCAGGGGACCCCTGCTGAAGACTCTGAGAAACCAATCGCTGAGGGTTTCTCAGATGATATTGATAGGGAGGTTGATGCTCTACTTCGTCAACCTGATCTGGGGGAGGAAGCAGAGGAGGTCATTGCTGCTGACCCTGGTGGAGACCAGCTGGGCTCCGCCGAAAGGGAAGGACATGCTGAGCCCAAGAAGGCTCAGGAGGTTCCCTCTTCTTCCTTCCCATCCTTCCAGACGCTGAACTCTGGAGATTTGGGTTTCTCGGCCCCCCGCATCACAGTCCCAGAACCTGTTTGGGAACGAATTTGGGGCCAGAACCGTGAAGGGGCTGCAGGTTACTTCGACGACCTATCTGGTATGTCGGAGGTGGACCGAGCAAGGGTGTGGTCGCTGAAGGCCACGGCTGGAATGGGAGAGTCCAGCCAAAGGGTCCCTGACCCTGCCAGAGACAACCAGCGTTTGCTGATGCAGGTACTTAACCGTTTAGTTATTTTGTTTTGTTTTTATTCAGCTCTTCTCCTTTCCCCCCCCCCCCCCCCCCTCTTTTTTTTTTTACTGATGTGCCCCTGTAAACAGGTTGTGCACAATCAGACTCTTACTGTAGAGCTGATTGACACCCTCCAAGACAAGCTAGAGCATGCCTGGGACGATAATAAAATTGCCCAGGAGGAGGCGAAGCTGGCTGAGCTGAAACAGCAGGCTGCTGAAGAGAAGCAGGCGGCGGCCGAAAAATATGAGAAGCAGGCTGCTGAGGCCCTTCGGACCTTCTGCCACGCCATGGAAACTGAGGTTTTCCCTACTCTGATGGCTGGGGAGAGCGTCATCAATGAGCTGGGGGCTTTTGACATCCCTAGTTTCAGGGCGGCTATCTCTCGCCGAATCGCTGCCGAGGCCGCTGGCCAAGTTCGAGAGATGGAGCAAAGGCTGGAGGGTCTGGAGTCCAGCAGGATGGCCGCTGAAGAGGCTCAACAGGCCAGGGATGCTCACCTTTCTGCTGCCCAAGCTGCTGCTGAGAGCCAGGACCAGAAGCTGAAGGAATTGGAAGATCAGCTGAAGGTTAAGGGAGATGAACTGACCCGGGCCAAGGCCGAGACTTCCAACGTTCAGCTGGAGCTTAATGAGCAGAAGACTTCTTCCTCCAAACTCTTAGAAGAGTTAGAAAAATCTAAAAAAGATTTGGAGGAGAGTCGAAAGAGGTTGGCTGATGCTGAAGCCTTGCTCCAAGTCCGCCTCTATACCCAAGAAGAGTACGAAATGGGTTACATAAATGTGTTAAAGGTGGCTCGGAGGTTATCTCTCCATGCTGAGCCTTCGCTGGATTGGGTTAAGTGTGCGCTTTGGGCTCAGGACCCCGAGGATCCGCACATGCTGTATGCTACTCCTGCTGAGCATGAAATCCTTCAGGCTGAACAAGCCGAGGAGGAAGCTGAGCGGCAGGAGTTGGAGGCTGAACAGCGAGCCGCTGATGCTCCGGCAAGGGCCCAACCTACCTCCTCTGCCGCTGGAACGGAGACTGCTCCGGGTCTAGACACAGCTGACTAGCCTGATCCTCTGGCTGAAGCATAGGAAATCATGCAGTCGTCTTCAGAGTCTTGCGGATCAACATGTGCTTAACTTCAAACTTGCCGCTTTCTGAATCTCTTTTTGCCTTATTTTTGCTTCAGCTTGCCTTGATGTACAAACAATTTATTTTTGTTTCTGTACGTATTTCGGCAGCTGTTATTTTCCGCTTGTGGGCGGCTGCCGATATAATCTTTTAGTTTATTTGAACACTTAAACTTTGTAGCTCGTTATACGAGCATGATTTCATGTTTTATGCATTCGACATTCCTCTCATATTGCTTTGCTTTGAACTTGCGTTTTCTTTTTTTTTTTATTTTTTTTTTGCTAAGTACAAAGCTTCAGCTTAGAGATGTCAGCTGAGGCAGTCTGCACTTGTGCTTCTTGCCCTCCCAGACATCTAAAGACTTGTTCTCCAGATTTCTGAGATTATTCTCATTTTCCTTGTCTATTTTCTGCTGTTTTATGGTTTTTCTCTCGATTTTTCGGTTTATCTTAAAAATGGATATCTCAAACACAGGGCCAATTGAAAGCAATGTTTCAAATAATGGCTATCTGGGGTGCAGAGCTCAGTTAAGGCAACATCCCAGATTTGTCCATGGACTCATTGCCTTGCAGAACAAGTCCTATTGGGGTTTCTACCCCAGCTGAAGGACCAGAGTTCTTAAAAAGGCAAGTTTATCGGCATTCCGAAACCTGATGCTCTGAGGGCGAAGGTTTCGGACAGGGTCGAAGGAAACCCTTAAAGAGTAGACCATAAGAAAAAGAAGGAGAAAATATTGCAAATGTTTGTAGAAAATAGTGGCTCTGAGGCCTTTCATTAATAATTCAAAATGTACTTACAACGATTGTTCTGCCCCGAAGGGTTTACACATGATATTTTTTAAGTACATCGGCATTCCAGTGATTTTTCAACTCAGTCCCATCCAACTACTGAAGTCGGTATGTTCCTGGCTGAAGCTCATCATAAACTTCATAGGGTCCCTCCCAGGCCGCTGAGAATTTCCCATGAATTCGGTTTTTTTTGCACTACGGCAGCATTCCGAAGAACGAGGTCTCCAATTTTGAGGGGCCTCGCTTGGACTCTTCGGTTGTAAAATTTGCTGATTCTCTGTTTGTATGCAGCCATTTTGACTCGGGCTGAGTCTCTCACTTCATCGAGAATATCGAGGGATTCCCTCATAAGATCCTCATTCTCAGCCGAGAAGTGGTGCACTCGCAGGCTTTCTGTACCGATCTCCACGGGGAGAACGGCTTCGGCGCCATACACCAATTCAAAGGGTGAGTGGCCTGTTGCCTCTTTTTCGGTTGTCCGAAGGGACCAGAGGGTTCCTGGGAGCTCCTCCAGCCACTTGGACTTCTGATCTTCCACCCTCTTTTTGAGGGCGTTCAGGATCTGCTTATTTGCAGCTTCGGCTTGTCCGTTACTTTGCGGGTGGCATACCGCTGAATATGCCAGTTTGATGCCGAACTGATCTGTATACCGCTTCAACGACAAGTTATCTAACTGCCTCCCATGATCGATGACAAATACTTTCGCGATGCCGAAACGAGTGATGATATTCTGCCAGATAAATTTCCTGACAGTCTGCTCTGTAATGTTTGAGGCTGCTTCGGCTTCAATCCATTTACTGAAATAGTCGACACCGACTATCAGCCATTTTTTCTGGTATGCGGCATCCGGAAATGGGCCCAAGATATCCAGTCCCCATTGGGCGAATGGAAGGGGATTCAGCACAGGCTGAAGCTCTTGGGCTGGCTGATGGATGACTGGTGCGAATTTTTGGTATTTTTCGCATTTTCTGACCAGTTCCTTAGCGTCAGAGATCATGGTGGGCCAATAGTACCCCGCCCTTAATGCTTTGTGAGCCCTTGGTCCAGCTGAGAAACGCTGGATGACTCGTTGCTGAAACGGGTCAAGTAGTCCCGGAGACTCTCGGTCTCCCCTTGCTGCAGGCCCATGAGCTCAGCAGTGGTCTTCTCTCGGCGGTTTGCCGTGGAAAATTTGCTCTTAAACTTGGTGGACAGGTCGTCCCACCCCATTATAGAGCCTTCCTTTACTCCCTTGGAGATCCACGCTTGCGCAACCCCCTTGAGAGTGGTGGGAAAATATTTGCACCAGGTCGCTTCGGACCTTGGGCAGAGATGCATGTGCCCCTCGTAGGAGGCGATATGGTCCTTCGGATCTGAAGTCCCATCATATGTAATGTGCGACGGTATTTTAACCGTAGGCACATGCTCTTCCAGAATCCATTGCTCGAATGGAGAACTGGTGGGTAGCATAACGGCCTTGCCTTTGTTCCTGGCCGAAGGGACCGCGCTCCGCCCTCTTAGAGAGGTAGGAGTGGTTTTCGTCTCTGGATGGGAAATTTGGGCCTCGGCTACAGGGAACGAGAGGCGGCTGTGCACGCTCGGCTCCCTGCCGCCGAGTCGGTCGAGTACGCTTCGGCGAACAGTCTCAGGTCGCTCTCGGTGGGCAGATTCCGGCCGAGAGGCTGAGCTGCTGCTCTTGTGCGTTTCTAGCCGAGAGGTAGAGGATCCTTTGAAAAATTGAGGGTTCTTTTTCCTCTCTCTTTTAGTTCTCCAGGTATCCTCTTCCCACTCTTCCAGCTCCCGGAAGGAGGGAGGCTTCCCCCCCATCATGGTCTATCTTCCTCCGCTGATTCCTGGTATGAGGGGGAGTTCGATCACGAGGTGGAGGCATATTTTGTGCCCTCATTGCCTCCATGAGTACCGCCAGCGCTCTCGCCACTTCTTCTGAGCTGGGCCCCGTCAAAGGGGTCCTCGGCTGAGTGTGAGAGTGAGAGCGGATGGTCAAAGGTTGGCTTTGGGGCACTGATTGAGTCCTACAATCGGACTGACTTCTGTTAGACCGAGGGGGACTCGGTCTATGATGAGAGTTGTGAATTACGGGAGAAAGGGAATCGTCCCGGTATGATCCTCCCCCCGAACTAGCACCCTTCAAAGAGTTCCTGTCCGGCGAAGGTGATGGTGTAGGAGTTTTAGGCCTTTCGCTCGCTCCTTGACGTAGGCTTTTGTTCTTGCGGTTCTTAGCTATTGCTACTAAGATGAGTGCAAGATGATTTTGATTGGCTTAAAGATTTTTTGAAAGTCTTCCCCACAGACGGCGCCAAATTGTTTCGGGTGAAAACAATGGGACCTCGCCGAAGGCCCAATGAAGTGGATGAAGACTTGTCCGGTCCAAGGGATGCTGGGCCGAAGGTTTCCTACACAGCAAAATACACGTAAACTGGCCTCGGGGGTGGATCCGAGGAAGACCCCTCCGATGCCGAAGTCAAACAGTGTATTTAGAGAGGAAGCTATGCAAGAGATTTAATGCTTGAGGCTTTTTTGTATATCTCATAAATGAGTTAATTGAAGGCTTTTATACCTTTGCATATGAGGAGAGGAGAGTAATTGGGCCCCTAAATAATCATGGGTTGACCATAGCAATTTGGACCAAATGACTCATGGCTGACTTGGCTTGATTGGAGGCTTGGGCCTTAACCTTGGAACATTGGATCATTTAATGACTAGGCCCAATTAGATAAATTGGACCCAAACAATATGTTTTATATTGAATAAAAGCATGACCTAATATGCAACTAATGTATAGAAAACTATATGAAAATATATGTTTATTGGCTCTTAAAAGTGATTACAAAACTCACTTATCATATTTGTAGTATAGAATTTTTTAAGCACGTAGTATAGAAAAAAGGAAAAATTGATTTAAATTATCCGATCATTTGGCCATTCAAATCTCTATTAATCCAAGCTTTGAGGAGTGTTCTTTTTTTTCTTTTTTTTTTTGGCCAAACAAATCGCTTGACCTTAAACCTCATGTCACCAGCCACGTGTCGTGTTTTCATTTGTCCATAAAGTATTTTTCAGTTTTTTTAAACTAATTTTTTCCCCTTTTTTCTCCTTATTCTTCCCTTTCCCTCCACGAATTCAAGCCCCCTATTTCCGACCACCTACCCTCCACGCCCACACTTCCCTTTCCAGCCGCCCCACCCTTGTCAACCATCCTTCCCATTCCTTCTCCAAACACCTCAAAACCCTTCCCCTTTCCCCTCCTTTCTCCGACCATCCACTAATTACCCTTCTGATTTTTGGGTTTTGGATTTTAAGTTCGTCCTCAAAATGCAATCCAATCAACCAAATTATGGCCGGAATCAGGAAATGAGGGGGTAGCTGATGTACACGTTCTATACCATATTTTACCCTCATTTTATAGTTATTTCCGTATGGTTTTTGAGCTCTACGGAGCTATTTCTCGCTAATACCCTCTTCTCTAGTGTGGCTTGGTCTATTTAACTGATTTTATAGGTACATGAAGATTTTCGGATGATTTGAACATGTTTTGGATAGCTATGAGAGCTTATCAAGATGGAGGAGAATTTTACCCGTGTCCGCCCTGGAGGGCAACATTGCCCTGGCAGCCAGGGCGAAGAAGGAAAGAAGAGGAGTCATGAGAAAGAAGTGAAGAGTTCAACTTCCATCCGCCCGGACCGAACGGCATTGCCCTGACATATGAAAGATTTCTTGAAGGCGTAAAGGTCGATTTTACTTCGCGCGCCCGACCGGGCAGCCTTGCCCGGTCAGACCGGGCGGAGTGTCGAAGACTGCGTTTTTCCTATTTTTTTCGGGCTTTCTTATATTAGGGGTTATAAATACCCGTTGTAAACCCCGACTAAAACATACTGAGTTATTATATTCTAGCTTTTAAACCTTCATTAGAACCCTAATATTCTCTCTAGATCTAGATTACATTGCACTTTCAAGTTTTAATCCATGTTCATCAACAATTGGTACTTTTCTTCATTCAAGCAATTGATATTCATCTTTATTTCTTCTTTTACTTTTAATTACTTATTAATCATGTTTTCTTCATTGATTATTGTTTTTGCCTTCATTAATATGTGTGAGTAGTTTTCTTATTCCAAGATCTAGCGGAACCAGAATATGATAAATGCATG